GTTAATCAACCGCAGCAATGGAGTGGCAAGCGTCGATTTTCACATCAAATGAGCTGCTGCGGCCGGCTGAGTGACTTATTATCAAATAAAATTACATAATCGAATCAAATGAAAATTGCTGATCCTCACATCAGTGGCAGTGACGGTGATGATACGGTTGCTGATGAACTTGATCATCGGTCATTATGATGTATATATATATATGAGAGGACTATAATCATCGTTATGGTGATTATAACGAAAGCTACAATGATCGCGCGAGAAGTTTAATGACGACTATCAAGATCATTATGATCATTTTAATGAGAACTTTAATAAACAGTTTGTTGATTGTGATGTTGTTGTTGAGCGCACTGTCTTTGTGGTGTTGCAGGTGTCAGCGTTGTTGATAAAATTGTTGTTGCCGCGATAGTTGCTGTTGCCGATCTTGATGTGTTATACGCTGAAAGGCAGAACACGATCATCCAAATGGGCAATAAAGCCAGAGATTAAGATGACGCTAGCACACAGCTGCCACTGCCACACTGGAGTTGGTGATGACGACTTATTGCCACGGGTCGCAATCAACTTCGGCAATAGAGTCACAACTAAAGCATACAAGCCACTATACCTGCCGGCGGCAGCGTGAAAAATAATTGCGCTGCAATTGGAAAGTGCAAAATGTACCATGGCAATATGAGATGGGGGGGCTTAGCGGCGTTAGCTCCAGCAATGGCGGTAATAATAAGTCAAATGCTTTGTTGCTGCGCGAGTCGATTACACGCGACTAGACAGATGACAGATTGGACTAAACGTAAAATGAGCGCAGCCGGTGTTGAGCGCCGTCGGTTGAAGTGGTTCAAGGCATTTATTGGTAAACGGTGGATGGGTAGGTAGTTTGTTAGATTGCTATTGTTGCGGTGGTCGGGAAATGTTTGATCGCCGATCGTATCGGTACACAAAGCGCTTGCAATCGCTGTTGTTGCCTTTGTTCGTCGCTTGATGATCGCTTTTATTACAATATCAGTTAATTGGAAAATTGCACAATGCAGTCATTGCTGCAGTGCCATCAAGATCGATCTCCCCAGTGATCGCCTAAATGTCATAAAATGTTTCTGATGAAGTTTTAATTACCAGCGATTACGATTACCCACGAGTTGTGTGTGTATGTGTGTGTGTGTGTCGGCGATACAGTTGTTAATTGTCGATTATTGTTAAAGATATCACTTTTAACGCAAAGTACTCGCTGCAATTCACCAAACTTGTTGTTGTCCGTGTTTTTAATCATTATTTCTCGAATGCAATGGAACAAACGAAGTTAATTGAATGTAAACTTTCAGTGTTAATTCCTTGCATAAGTGTTTAATTAAGTTGTTTCTTTGACTTTTACTGTGGATATATGCCTACGTATATATACCTAATATAATCAAGCAAGAACCGGAATTGTAGAGCTAAATGCTATTCAGTAATTAAATTAAATTCAAGGAAGTGATATGAAAGCTTTGAGAACCTTTCACTTTATAATGTACTCAATATATAACGGGTATTTCTTTAGACTTGTGGTTTTCAATGAGGCAATATTTTATTCGGAGTTTGACTTATACTCAGTTTGGTTTGCTATTTTATAATTAACAGACTTACTCTGGAACAAGTTCGCAAAACCAATCCACACGAAAATTTTGTTCAGCGATGAAACTCACTTTTGGTTAAATGAGTACGTTAATAAACGAAAGTTTTGCATTTGGATATAATGGATCATAATGATAATCCACAAGCCACTGTTGAGATGCCCTAACATCCTCAAAAAGTAACTGTGTGGTGTACTCTATGGGCAGAGGGAATCATAGATCCATATTTCGCACGACCTTTTCTTCCCAAAAAGCTTCTCATTTGTCGAAACCGCCGATATCGGCCATATAAATTGATCAATCAAAATCCTCTTATGCTATGAAATGAGCCTGTAAAGTGCATGATAACTTCGGTGCAACCCAAGTTAATATTTTTTTCTTTCTTTTGTTCAAATTTTTCAAAAAGATACGGCAATTTTTCGCAAAACCTTTAACTACGGTAAATGTAATGTAATACATATTTATTGAATTAAATGTGAAAATGTAAATAACAGGCAATCCTTATCGAAAATATCTATTTATATACGTATATATTGTAATATTTCATTTATATTATAAATTAAATTAAATTTAAACATGTGGCAACTATTTTCGCAGATTCTTTCAAATAAAATTCTTTAATTTAATAAACTATTTGTAATAATTAACTTTCCTTTTAATTTTGATGAATTAAATGTTTCAGCATTCCTAATAATACATATATTGCTACTTTCAATGCCTTGAGCGATATACACATAACTCGGTTTTTCTTAATGTTAGTTATTCCTTTGGTTTCAAAATTTCTTTTTAGTTATTTAGTTTAGTTTAGTTTGTTTTTTATATATTATAAATTTAATTTCATTCAATTTTGGCTAAGTTGGCAACTCCTCTTAAAAACAGCATCAATAAAAAAAATTGCTAAACACTACAAATTGCAAAAAGAGTTTATAATTCAGTTATACAAATTGTATTAGTTTAATTTAAAAAAACGATCTTAGTAAATATGCAGCTGGCAACTCTTTTAAAATATTTTAATAAGCAAGTCATCTTAAATTTTTTTTTATCAGTTTAATAAAATATTGCATTAATTAAATTGCCTTATGTGATTAATGTTTTTGAAAATAAATTTTAAACAGATGGCATCACCGCAGAAAAAAATTTTTAACTGTAGACACTTACTTAAACTTTTCGTATTCGGAGTTGCATACATTTTTATAAATTAAAAATTTTAAAAAGGTGGCAACCTTAATTTTTTTTTTTTAATTTACTGAGTACCGTATATTACTGAACAATCCCAATCAAAAATTTCAACTCGTTTCAACTTTCACTTTGGTGATCCTCACTATACTTAGCAACTGGAGGAATTTCGTTACTATTCTACACAATTTTTAAGAATAAAAGTTTAATAACCCCAAATAATACTTCTTAAAAGCTATCTCGCTATTGAAGAAAATGCATTATAATTTATAAATTTAATTTTATATGAAAGTTCAATTTTGATTAAAATTATCTTGTGACATATGTACATATGTATGTGGTATTGCAATCAAAATTTTAAAATATAAATAAATTTTGTTAAATATTTTAGCTCGGCACTGGATTTCTTCACTTTTGAAGGTTGTTTCAATTCTTTGGAATGTAATTTTTTCTTGACCTGAAAAACAATTGCTGCCGTATATGATTCGAAATTGCTGCAAATATATACATATGTAATGTCTAATATAAGTGTGTATGTTTGTATGCATGTGTGTCAAGCTGCCATCATTTGAGTAGTTGCTGTATCGGCCATTAGTTTTATCTTATACTTGGCTATAAACAGACAGAGGGCGCCGCTATTGCCTTTTCTACAAAAAACAAAAGCAAACTAGCCTTGCTTTAACTTGTTAGCGGAGCACCCACGCAATCGTTTACCATAGGAAAACACATCGATCCTTAAATATAACAATTTCTACAGTAAAATGAACTTACCTTGATTTATTATAATATTGAAAGCTGCAAACGCGTATTCTAATCATATTTACACTAAAAGATAGCTATTATTTTACACATTTACGAGAGCAGACGAAGCCTGCTGATACAACGCCCTAACACTTTCACGAAAAACCATTAGAAAAACACTGCCCGTAACTATATTCAACTTTTATTATAACGAAAACACACTAAGCTACAACAAAATACATCAAACACTAAATTTTTAACACTTTTTAACACATAAACACTTTTAACAAATTTGCACACGCGACCGCGGAAACTCACTTGGAACTTTTCAAATGGCGGCGGAAGTTTGACATAACAAAGAGTTACCTTCCGTGCGATAATTATTTCTAATTGGCATTACTCAACTGAAAATAAATGTTTATTTAAATAAATTAATAAATTATAAAGAGAAACTAATTTAATTAAATAAATTTAGTAAATATAATTTTAATATTTAATAATTATCAAATGCTAATATTAAACATTTGACAAATACTTTTAAATATAATAGTAAAAATTTATATAATTGAATAACTTTTTTAAGGTGTGCAAAATTAATCACAAATCTTTAATTAACAATTATATCAATATTTTACTTTAAGAAGTTCAAAAGTTGCTGTAGTTCAAGGTACAAAGCAAACCAAGTTCGCATCTGATGACATCAGCTGACAGGAGTTCGAAATATGAGGCACACCAAAATGATGAAAAACAGGAGTTCTTTAACAAAAACTGGCTTTGGATGAAATATTTTACGCAAGCATACTGTTAAAAGATAGAATAAATAATGATTTTGAAAAGAAATTTGAAAAATTACATACCATGATTTTTTAGAATTTGCTTTATGCGTTCGAGAGTACTGACATCAGCTTATTTCTCAGATAGTCCAAAATTTAAATATATATTTATGTTTACTAAATAATAATATCAATTTTTAAGTATAATTGTAAATACTTTGAGTAGTAAAACGCATATTTATGCACTGAACAGGGTATATTAAGTTTGTCCTGACGTTTGAACACCCAGAAGGAAACGTGGAGTCCCTATTAAATATATATATATACGTATATATATATATGATCTGCATCTATCTGTCTGCATACTGCTTGTATGGAAAACTTTAGCATTTGACAAGATATCGTCACCAAATTTGGGACAGATTATTGTTTAAGGTAATGGCGCAATCTCTGAAGAAATCGTTCAGATCGGATTGGTACAATATATAGCTGCCATACAAATTGAACGATCGGAATCAAGTGCTTGTATGAAAAACTTTATCATCGAATTCTAATGGGTAATTAAATCAGTATGATGTGCAACTAATGGCTTAACTGATTATTATATTTTTATAAAGTGACGCAATGCGCCATATAAATATTTTTTACTATTTAATCAGTGTGAACTGATTTTGAAACAAAATTTTATTATAAAATATGAAATCTGATTTTAATGTCATCTAAATATTATTCAAAAATAAATTCAAATATACCTTCAGTGTTATTAAATTTTCGCGTAAGAAATGCAACCCTGCACTATGCTAGCCTTCCACTGCTGCTGTCAGTTTCCGTTAGCGCGAGTGAAAAACTATTGGCTGCATTTGCAGTGGTTTATTAAAATGTGAATTTCAAATAAAAAGTACTAAAAGTATGGATTTTTTTTTATTCTAAGGAAAAAAAGGAAGACCAACTATAGATAATTGGTCGAAAAAGAAACCGGGCGTTATTGAGGGTGTACTTAAATGCTTCGGAAAAGTGTATAACACGGTGCAAAATGTGTGGTGGGGAGAAGTAACATAAGAAAATTGGTTTTTTAGTAAAAAATTATGGAAATCTGCAGTAATCAATTAGGTGCAGTAGAATCTTGAGTCAAGGAAAGCAAGTTTTTAAGAATTTCAGGTAAGTGGCTTTACAAATAGCTATAGAACGTAGATTTGGAATTTTCAGGTTGGGAGTATATATGTGTACATTTGTATATGTGTTGGCTGCATGTATGCAGAAGCAAAAAGCAAGCAATTATGCTGAACGCTGCGCAGAAAACACTCGTAGATGGCGCTTGAAGACATAGTAATAGATGAATATGTGTACATGCATACAATATATTGCAGATTTTGATGTACTCTACAAACACAAATATTATATATAAACTCAAAAAATCTTTGTACTCTTAAAAAAAAGTAACAACAAGAATTAAGCAAAAATACATCGCACATACTAAATCAGGCAACAAAACTCACTACAATTACAACCAACTCACGTTTTATTGTCTAAAAATCCACCTACATAAGTTCTCACCAACACTGTAGTTTGTTTTTCACTAAATAACTTATCAACCGTAGAATAACTTAACATTTTAGCGTCAAAACAAACAAAAAGCAAAGATTTATCAACACAACAAAAACCAACAAGAACAATGTGTAACCGAGTGAGATCGCAAGTCACGATAATGATAAATCGCGACCGGGGGCAAACTTTGTTTATGTTTTCTCTTTTTATTAGTTCTCCCAATAAAGGTCGAGGGTAGGACAAGTCAACTTAACGCCATTCATGACTTCAATTCGAATGGACAAAAAGCGGATACGCTCGGGCATAGGTGAAATAGACACGGTAAATACTGTTCATAGCACAAGCAAAAAAAAAAACGAAAATAATAATAATGGCATAAAAAACTGTTAGCCTAAAACTTGCAATAATTCGTGAAATAACAATAGTTCACCGCCGAACTACAAGCGTGTGTACAAGCGCCAAAAACTGGTAGCCAGCAATTCGATCTTCCTTTTTTGCGGCGCCAAGTACAATATTTATGCATTAGTTTTTTCGCTGCAAGCAATGGTGGAGGTCGAAGGTTTCTCAGATAGGGTGGTAGTAGTTATGGGAGTGAATAGAAAATGTTTTAAAAAATTTTAACATTTATTCGTAAATTTATTTTAATAGATAATGATCGTGAAAGTTATAAACAGCGAACTTAAGATCGAAAAAAATAAATAAAATTAAGTATATTAAGTACATATATAGGAAAACGATTTTAAGATGCGTATTTTAAAACCAATATTTTATATTGTTTGCACTTTATTGAGAAACTTTTTTGGTTTTAAATTAAAATAATTTTTTTTTTTCAATTTACTAGAGTAGAATAAAGTTTCCAAACATACTGGAGTGGTTTTGTACTAAAATAAATCCGCATGGGAAAGCAAAACAGAAAGCGCTTAAGTTCTGGAAATACTCTGTTCGTATTCACATTAATTTAATATTATTTATGCGAATATATTTTGCTACAAAACCACTACCGTATGTTTGACAGCGTTATTCTACACTAGAAAATTGAAAAAAAAAAAATTATTTTTTACATATTTCAATAGTTATTATATTCAAAAATATCTCTCTAAATGGATTTTTCAAAATTATCTTAAAATTGTAGATGTGTTTTCCTCGAAACTACTTTTTTTTTTGATCATCACGTCATTCTAAGACCTAAACAGGCGATTTACTTGAAATTTGGCATATTTTTGGAAAGATTGCTTTCCTAAATAAAAACACTACAATTTTGAATTTGATATCGCAAATTATTTAAAAAGGTGTTGGTCTTTTTGTATGACGTTTTGCAAAATGGTGGTTTTTTTCTAAAAAATTTTGTTTTTGAAAAAATATTTTTTCCAAAATGGTTGCATATTTTATTTAGACCTTTAAAAATACCATACAAATATATTGCAAATGATTAAATCGAGAACAAATAATCCTATCTAAAATTTTGAGTAAAATTCAACATTTTTTAAGACGCCAACATTTTGTAAATTTTTGTTTTTTTTTTCGTACGTAGGTCATTGTACAGACAATATCTTCAAAAGAGAATATGTTATTATTTTTCATCCACGGAAAAGGCCAGAATCACTTTAGTATTGGAGAACCTTATTTATCGCCGTCGAATATCGCGTGTAACTCGAAAAATATTTAGTTTTTTTTTTCAAAAAATTTTATTATTTTTTTTTTAACTCACAAAAATCGGCTTTTTTAGACTGTCACACTAAGTATGCGCCTTAAATAATATTAAAAAATAAATAAAAATAGAATATCAAGTGGCAACGCTATTGGTTATTCTTTATATTGTGAAAGTTCTTTGTTTTTCCCAAAAAATAGAAGAAACACCAAGATGACACATGAATATGCATTAAAAATATAAGCCATATCGTTTCATCTGCTCGTGCGTTCTTTTTATAGTTATACCTAAAGCCAAAAGAGGTGGAGAAAGAACTCATTAGGCATTTAGTCAACACAATTAATATTTACTTGCTGGTTTTTTCTGATATGAGGCTCCGTTCGAAGCTAGTAATTTAAAAAATTGTTATTTCATTTATTATTGAAATAAATTTATGGATTTGAACTCCATATCAGGATTTCTCATAATTATGTATCTTAATCAACAAAACTGACTTAACGAACAATTAAAATAATTTATGCAACATATTTTTACGAAACGAATAATTTTAATTACTTTTATGGAGTGTAAATCCAACAAAGGTAAGGATATAACATTCCTGCAGTCTCCCTTTGTGAATTATTTATGGAACTTTGCAGATATACAAGCTTTACAGATTAAACCTTCACAACGCAGACACTTTAAGCTCGTCTTTAATCGCTAATTTATTCCAAAAATCTTAAAGGAAAAGAAGAAAACGTTAGCTTCGCCTGTACCGAGGCAATAATACCCTACACAGCTGCATTTCCTAAAGCATAAAAGAATATAAAAAAAATGTATCAAGCATTTGTTCAATCAGCTTGTATGACAGCTATATGCTATAGTTGTGCGATCTAAACAATTTATGCAGAGATTTGTAGAATTTTATTAGACAATAGTTTATGACAAATTTCGTGTAGATATCTCGTCAAATAAAAAAGTTTTCCATAGAAGAATTTGATTTGAATCGGACAATTTGTATGGCAGCTATATCCTATAGTGGTGCGACTTCGGCAATTTCAACGAATAAGCAACTTCTGGGAGAGAAAAGTACATGTGCGAAATTTCAGCACGATATCTCAAAAAGTGAGGGACTAGTTTGTGTATATACATATATATCATTTATATATATTTACTATTATATAGCTATAGGACGTTTTCCTCGTCGCAAACTTAATATACGCTGTTTAAGGTATAAAAAGTAAAAACAAAATTTGAAATATGTTTGCAATCCACGAACGAATTAAAAATTCCACTAGTAGCTGCAAGCCATAAACCAACTCCAACATTTGTGATTATAATAACAAAAACAAATGCCATAAAATAATTAAAATACGAGAAACCTTTCATATAAATTCAATAACACAATTAATTCTCGACAGCATGTCAGCAGTCATTAGTGACAAGAAGTCTTCAATAGAGCGGAGCCAAAAAAAAGAACAAAAACACAAGCAATTGAGGCCAGTGAGTTTAATCTACGCGCGCACAAGCCCTTAGTCATCTACTCGTAGACTGACAGAGACAGACGGACGGACAGACAGTTAGTCAGCTACTGGCAGTGTTTTAGTGCAGCAATGACCATTTATGGTTGTTGTAGCGAAGCTAAAATAAACTCAAAACCACAAACCGATTATCGTTTACAACATCCCAACAACAGCAACAACAACAAAAATAAGCCGCATATAGCTACATAAATATATGTATATGTGTGCGTTTGTATGTGAGAGTCCATGAGTGCATTGCTGCCACAGCCAGTAAACACATTAACCCTAGTCAATACGATTCGTTGCACTGTTACAAATTCACTCAATTTACATATTTCATCCACGATGTATTTCAGCTAATTCCCGATACCGCGTTTCAGCTAAGTTTAGTTTCTCACGAACTACATTTGGTCACATTCCCTAGCGACCTGCATTTGAAATTAACTGCTTCACTTTATTTTCTTGTCTTGTTGTTGTTGTGTTTTCTTTTCTTTTTTCCATTGTAGAAAAATGTTAACAAAAGTAATAAATAAAGTGCCATAGAAAAAACCCTCTTAAAGTGAAATAGTTTTTTGGAAGGAATTTCTTCGGTGATTGCCAAACCGTGATTGTTCGGCAGTGACCAGAGTACCTACTATTTGCCCCACATGCGGAAATGTAATGCAGGTACATGCACCAATAGATACAGGGCTAACCGTACAGTATACCCAGTGTTGAAAATAACAGTATCATTATTCGTAAACATAGCTTATTTTACATTTACCGTTACTTCAATAGAAATTAGTTAAATATTCGTCAAATTCCTTAGCTTTGCTAAAAAAGCCAGCAAGGAAGTCATAAATGCCTACATATACCAATCGCCCATAGAATAATCCTTCGTAGGAAAGTATTTCACAAAATTTTTTCGAATACATTTAGGGTGGAGCGAAAAAAATTTTTTTTTGCTTAGAAGAGGGTAAAATTTGTAGATTTTATGAAAAAAAAATTGTTTGTAGGTATTATTGGAGTTTTAAAAAAAGTCTTAAACGACAACATGCTTTTCTTAAGTGATAAAATAAATTTTGAGTCAAAAACCGTCAAATTCGGTAATTTTTACATAATTGTGAAGAGTTTAAACCAACTAAAAAAATTTTTTTGTCCAAAAAAAGTTTTAACTCGAAATTTCCTTTAAAAGCCAGCGGCCGCCTCTAGATGTTAAAAAATTTGTTTTTTTTTCCAAAAATATTCTTTTTTTATAATCTACAAAGCCTAAGCACAAAAAAAATTTTTTTTCGATCCACCCTAAATGTATTAGAAAAAATTAATAAATACATTTCAAGATTAGTTTTTTTAGACTTTGAGATTTTTTTTCTAAACATTCTGTTAATATTTTTAGCTTTCTTATAAACCTTACCTAAAGCTTCTTATCTTACCATCGCGTACTATTATCAAATATTCTTATTGAATATTTATTGGATATCTTA